GTGGTGCCTGTCCCTGACTCTACCATAAACAGAAACCAGACAGTAAATGGGCTAGCTGATGACCCGGGGCCTCCCGTCGCCCTGATGGCTAGTACCAGTAATTGACACGCCTGCACTGTCCCAGGAGAGGAATCTTCGCCCATCACATACCAGAGGTGCCCATTGTCTGCATTTTCCCAGGTGTGAATTATGCTTTGCACCCTTCGTGGGAAACTTGGCATTCAAAGCCATTTTTCCTAATTGGCCACTTGAGACCAGGAAGAAGCCTACATGACCCAAGGGGTATAAAAAGAGGTTCAGCCGCCCACCCCATTTGAGCTCCAATCATCTATACCTGCTGGCAGGTATTGATTGTCTCCCGAGGTCTGTGGGACGCCCAACCTCGCCCTACTTCTTCCCGAGGGATTGAGAGAAAGACGCTGGCCACGCCAAGTCTGGAACGCAGGGGTGAGAATATATACCTGCTATGTGTCTATTTTGCATGCATTTAATAAGAGCTCAGAGAACAAAAGGATTTCATGGTACCTGTAAGTGACTTATTAGTGTAATTTCTGTCCTGTCCTTTGTAGTGTCTGTGTTATCTGTAACACAGTAGTAGCATTTAACAGCTAAGTTTACCCTGTAACAATAAAATAGTAACTGTTTAAGCTTTAACCTGACTCCTTCAGTTGCTGTAACAGAACCAAGCACAATTTAAAAGAACTTCAGCCGGTCATAAGGGACAGGTATAGGAAGAGCTTGGGCATTTTGGGTCGTGTCACTCCCAGGTGACAGATCCGTTGGGGCATCTCTCAGTCTTCCCTAGACTGCCCGCTGCGAAGGTATCCTGTATTCTAGCAGCTAAAATCTGAGGTGTAATAAGCTCTCCCTGTAAACTTCTTGGGGCAGCCATCAACCTTCTCCAGGTTGCCCACTGCGAAGGGACCCCAGTCTCAGCAGTTGAAGTCTCGGGTGTATAACACACACACACCACTCACTGCCCTGACCATTGGCTGACAAATGTGCTGCACAAGCCTGTGTTCCCTGCATTCACTCATGCTGCATTTGTATAATTTCAGAGTAGGCTTTGGCCCAGTGAATCATAAAGGGATATGTTTGCATGAATCAACACAATCAACAGCTACCATTTATTTGGTCAATGTCAAATTGGCCTGAATCCTACAATGATTCAAGTAGGGGAATCCCTATGACTGAACCAAGCCATATTTAATCACACAGATGGTGATGCACTTGCAGGATAGGAGCCTATATCATAAAAACATAAGAACGGCCGTACTGGGTCAGACCAAAGGTCCATCTAGCTCAGTAGCCTGTCTGCCGACAGTGGCCAACACCAGGTGACCCAGAGAGGGTGGACCGAAGGCAATGATCAGTGTTTTGTCTCCTGCCATCTCTCTCCAGCCTCTGACAAAGAGAGGCCTGGGACACCATTTCTATCCCCCTGGCTAATAGCCTTTTATGGACCTAACCTTCATGAAATTATCTAGCTCCTCTTTATACTCTGTTATAGTATATAGTGACTGGTTATTACTATTATTACTATTATTACTATTAATAATAATAATAAGTCTGTTGGATAAAACAACTTGCAGCATTTAAACCCCAAAAATATAAACACTGTAAACATGGTTTTATCTTCCAACTAGCTATGTTCCTACCAAAACAATGAAGTTTCAATTGAAAGATTTGTCTTACATTTGAATCTATTTAGTTTGAGGATTTAAACTAAATATAGCAGGCCGATAGGCAGCATGTGGAGCTGGAGAAAATTATGTCACAAAGTGTTTGTTAAACAAAAAGGTCAGAAATCTCAAACAGTTAAAGAGATCCCAGGAAGAAAAAAAATTACAAAATTTTAGAGAACTGTTAATCTATTTCCTAGCTGAGCAAACACCTTCCATTCATAATACAGGTTGAGCCTTTCTAGCCTGGCACCCTCAGGACCTGACTGGTGCTGAACCAGAGAATTTGCTGAACCATAGGAGACTGGTATTGTCTAGCAGCATTACCAACACTTCCATTGCTTAATGGGTTCTTAGAAGATATTTAGGGATAAATTAGAGCTAAATGACAGCACAGAACTCTGAGAGCCAGGATGGTGCTATCAACAAACTTTATGGGACCACAGGAAATTTGGCCACACCCATGATAAGTGGACATTTGGCTAACTAAAATCATACCAGACCATGGATGTTGCGGAACCAGAGTGTACTGGACTAAAGAGGTTCGACCTGTAATAAGCTGGTCTCTTATTGTGAATGGAAAGGTCATAACCTTATTAACCTATATGCTGCAAGGCTAAGTGAAATTGAGTTATATTTCAGTGGAGATATACAAACCTTTTGAACATATGAACTTTTTAGACTTTTTTATTTTCTTTTACATAAAATGTTGGTGTTCTTGCTCTCTATTCTCCCACCTCCTGATAACATCCAAGATTAAGAGGGCTTTATTTGAAAAAAGAAATATAATTTCCAAATTATTTTAAATTATTTATTGGTAAGATTTGATACAATAATTGAAACTGATCTTTTCTGAACAAGGAAGCAAAATCCAGAATATCTCAAAACTGCACCTGATCACCTTGTTCTTCCCACCAGAAAAAGGACTAGAGTATTCTTTCTCTCTCTCTGGCATGCGCGCGCGCACACACACACACATACACGTACAACAATTCAGAAGAGATTGCTGTGATTGTTGAAACAAAATTTCATTTGGAAACTGTGTCCTTAACTTGATTTTAGAAATCATGTTTTTGAAAACTGCATCCAAATTGCATGAAATGCAAAGAAGTGCACTCATTTCATTTTTGAACAATTGATTTCCTATGGAAGACATTATTACTGTATCCTTTAACTATTGATATTCATGGACTTTCTGAAGAAAAAAGAGAGACTTGGTGCCATTCATCAATTACTGAAGAAAATGAACAAAAGAAATTATACATTTTGAAACTGGAAGTCCTAACTAGTCTTAAGGAAAATGATTTTTAATATTTCTACTAGATTATCTAAATCTCTGACAAAACTACAAAAATGAAGTCACCTTTACTTTTAAGGAAGACAACGTGGTATTTGGAAGAAATCTGAATATGTTCATAAAGAAAACCAAAATGGTCAATTTTCCTTTAAACAGGTTTCAAAAGAATTTTTACAATGTATTTATCACTTATTATTGTCTTAATTGTAAAAATATTTGTGTGGACTTAAAAGTGTATGTGTAGGTCTTTGGAAAACAAAAACCATAGATGTGGATAAAACAGGAGAGTAGATTTATACATGTATCTTACACCTTTGGTTCAAAAATGAAATTAGTTATTTTAGTTTAATCCTTAGTGTATATATGCATTTATTACAAAATAGCCCCTGAATTTAGTATGATATGATTATTTTTTAAAATCATAATAGTTTCTTCAAATTCTGAAAACAATACAATTTAAAAAAATCAATAATGAAAAAATATAAGAGTTCAGAAGAAATTCATATTAGATTAAGTAACTTCTTCCAGTTCAATAGAGGGCCAAAATGTCAACCATTTTATCTTCTATATTAGTTATCATATGAAACTAGTTAAATAAAATGTATTTCATTTATAAGGAAAACTAATTTATTCAAAAGCTTACATGCTAATGGGCAAATTTTCACAATATTGTACAAGAAATGCTTGAACAAACTTTAGAAAATAAAGTTGCTTATCTGCATGTCCCATATGCTATTTTGAACATTTACAGTGCAGAGATAGCAGTGTAAATATTACATTCTAAATTACTTTCAGACACAGGTTTACATAATGCAATTCTGCCTTAATGCATTACTAGCAATAAATAACTAACCACATTTTCCTTCTGGAGATCTCTCCACTCTCAGTTTAGTAGCTGAAGTAACAGTATTTATGACTACAGTATAATCATCTGAATTTCAAAGTCTCATTATCATGGATCTGTCCTAGACTTTGCCCTTTGAATATAACCTCATCATTGAACTCTCTGTGCTCAAAAGCTTATGTTTTCGTTCCAGTTATGAACTACATTAAATGATAGAAGTCACGCTGGCACCAAAATGTCAATAAGGTCACATTTTAATTTGCCACACATGATCTACAGAACTGCATACAAAAACTGAGAGAAGATGGGAAGCAGGAATAAGTGTTCTCAACAAAACAATGTTATAGATTTTGCAAGAGTCAAGGTTACCATTTACATGATTAGAATTGTGGTAAGTTTGCTAAGAGAGTTTGGAAATTGTGCTCACTAGGATTGTTTTAATTTAAGTTTGTGTAAGTGTGATGGACATATATTAATTGGAAAAAAGAAAAAGAAAAAATTTATGAAATGTATTAGCTTCTAGAATATCCTATCCCTAATTTTTATCATTGGTTGGGTCTTTAGCAAGCTCAAGTCAGATGACTTGTTTTCAAATCTCTTTACTATTTTGAAAAAAAAATACAGATATTACCTTCTGTGTCTTGCATATTTGCCACTAACATGACCACTGCCATCACACCCTGGAGTAGGACAGCTGCAAAAAGGAAACAGTTAATTATATAGGTGCCGGTATGCTGCAGGAAGATTATACTAAAAGCAGGCAGTAGATATTACAGAGATGGAGGGCAACAAAGACAGAAAGAGAGAAATCAAATAACTGAAGGGGAAAAAGGGGATGCTTTTTATTAGCAAGTCTCAGGGGAATTAATTTCATCAGTGCAGCAGGGCATGAGCAAACCACCAATGAACTTGAAAGTGCATTATACCCATTAAAAGGCATGAATTTTCTAAATTGCTAATGGGGATACATTTTACACTCAGAGCACTAACCTGAACAGCTCTTGTATGGCTGGTTCCACGGGAACTGCAGAGAGATGGAAAATATATAAAAATTTATCATCTATTACAAGCTCCCTTCTTCTACAGAAAATTACCAAAAAGGTTGTGTAAAAGCAAGGGTCAGAATGAATCGTGCAAAGAGATTCTGGAGGATGAAGGTCACCCTGAGCGGGGGCCTTGAGTGATTTACTGAAGCAAGAGACGTACCTCGAACACCTTTGGAGCGTGTGCGATGGCGCTTCTCGTCTGCATCCACCTCCATCTGGGAATAGATTAGCAGGCAGTCAATGTTCTTATCCTGCATGCACAGACTATCAATGCACAGACTGATACCGTCACTCACACAATTTATTGGCAATATTTTAATTCCATTTTATCCTGTAAGGGAAATTACACTTTAAAAAGGATTTTTAGGATCCCTGCATTTATTTAAAAACAGGAATCACATCATGATATTTGTTTTAATCTGTCTGCTTCCACGTCCTTCTTCATTATATGTTTTGTAAAACTGTAAGAGCAATACAAGCCCTCTATTTTTTAAAAGATTTTTTGACAGGAAACCCAGTTTACTTGGATGTATTTTTGCAACAAAGGTATAATAGATTTCTATATAGTTTGAAACTAAGGTCAAGTAGTCCCATTTCACAGGATGCCTTGTTACAGGTGGCTTTAGAGTGGATAAACAGGCAAGGAATGGGAGAAAGAAAAAGAGAATGAGATGAGGACAAACGGACATGATTAGAGGTACACAGGTCTGCTTCATACTATTTAATATGAGAGGGCAAACATAAGCACAGTAACACTTTTCACTAGACCAATTTATGTTGGTGGACGTGTAACCCAGATACCTTCTGGGTGTGACATACTGTCCCACCTAGTGGCACTGAACCCACTTATATGTGGCTATATCTACACTGCAAGCTTCTTTCGGAAGCTTATTTCAAAAGAAAGTGTCCACACAGCAAAAGGGCAAAGAAAAAGCAATGTGCTTTTTCGAAAGATAGCATCAACATTGATTGGACACTATCTTGGATTTATGTTGAAATTAGTATGGACGGAGTGGCCACCGGGGCATCTGTGTTATTTCCTGGTGGCCTCTTCTTTCAAAAGAACTCCTTTTTCTGCATCCCTACACACCTTTTTATGAAAAAGCTTTTTTGAAAAAAGGCTTCTTCTTCGTAGAAAGAGGTTTACCACTGCCAAAAAAAACCCAACATTCTCTCGACTTTCTGCCAAAAGAACGCAATAGCAGTGTGGACATACGTATAGTTTTTCCAGAAAAACAACTGTTTTTCCAGAAAAACCCTGCAGTGTAGACATACCCACAGAAAGAGAAATGAGTCTGATCTACAACTTTAGCTGAGATACAGCTAGCTTTTAGTTCATGCAGTAGAGGCTCATGCAATAAGGTCCAGAGGCCCCAGATTTGATTTTGTCTGTCGGCATTACAAAAGGTACAAGGTTTTGAACTACTTGGAGTTCTTCAAGTCTGTGAAGCTCAAAAAAATTATAATTTCCACCAACAGAAGTTTTTTTCAATAAAGAATAGTACCTCACCCACCTTGACTCTTTAATAACCTGGGACAAACAGAGCTACAATAACATTGCAAACTACTATTTAATAATGATTTTGGTCATTTCTTGACATATCACATTGATTAGATAAATATTATCAAGTCTAAATAAAGTCCTTAATTTCTGCTTGTGGCTTTATCTCCCTCTTCATTTTACAAACAGCAATGCTGTCCAGGGTGACTAATTATGTAATAGTAAGTATTCTGACACTGATATCTTTATTGGTCAGATACAGAGTTTCTCATCAGATCAGAGGTCAAAGTATATACAGTGAGTTAGGACAGTTTCAATATGCTTGAGTTTCAATATCCTAATCCTTCCATGCTCCAAATAATTTCTGATCCAATACATTTGCATTGGTCCCAATGTGTCTTCAAAAGGGCATTCAGTCCAGTATAAGTCATTTTAATCCTCTTGGTCACAAATACAGATTTTATTGGAATATGTTGAAACAAAGGCCATAACAGAGGAAATATCTTCCATTCCTTACATGCAGTGTCTGATGCAGCAGCCTCCTGAAATTTAGAGAGGGCACATATAGGTGCTATTCTAAAGATCTCAAAGCAAGGATTAGAAATCAGGAGCACCAGAATGGAGGCAGACAACCCACAGGGGGTTTATTTCCCAAAGATCACATAGAAAGTTGGTTGTCAGTTTAAGGTAATATTTTTGTATTGACAGTTGATATTGCTAGTCTCAACTATCTTATGAAAAAAAGCACAGTGATTAGTACGCACAATTTTTTTCTCTATGGCTCAGGTATTACACAGATTCATACAACTTGCAATTAATCTTTACTCCCAACTCCACTACCTGCCATAGCAGACTATAATTTATCTGTGTTCCCATATCACGTAGAAGTCCATTTTATGCTAGGCACTGTACAAACACAAATATCAGTCTCCACCCTGAAGAGCTTGCAAACTAAGTCCATGTGCAAAGGGGGAGAAAAGGTTTGAATACAAATGTGGAGTGAACAATGTGATGGTAGTTCCATGCTTTTGGGGACAGGGTTAGATAGGAAAGGACAATCTTAAAGGAAAAGGGGGACACTGAATGGAAAGGATGCGAGGGGTGGGAGACAGAAAAGGGGAGAAGAAGAGACCAGGAGAGATTGGGAAGGGAGAAGTTTGGAGTAAAAGGCCAATCAGCATTAGGGATGTAAGAGTGTAAATGACTGACCATTTAACCGATAAGCAGATGCTTATTGGTTAATGGTATCAGTTACCCTCAGCCTCCCAATGAGGCAGTTTTGCTGCAGCAGGACAGTGCAGCCTCTTCCCCGGGGAGCCAGGTGGGCAAGGGCTGACTGCTCCGCTTGCAGGGAAGTTGCTTTGCTATAACAGTGAAGACTCCTCCCCAGGAGCCGGGCAGACAAGGGCCGGTAGCATCTGATCCAATACATTTGCATTAGTCCCAATGGGTCTTTCAAAAGGGCACTCAGTCCAGTCTGAGTCATTTTAATCCTCTTGGTCACAAATACAGATTTAACTGATATTAGTTGAAACAAAGGCCACATCAGGGAAAAATATCTTCCATCCCTTAAGGTGCACTGTCTGGAACAGAAGCTTCCTGAAATGCAGACATTGAGATGGAGTGACCCAGGTAGGTCCACACAGATAGGTGCTACTGTAAAGGTCACAAAGCAATGATTAGAAATCAGGAGCACCAGAACGGATGCAGACATCCACATGGAGGTTTGTTTTCCACAGAACACACACAAAATAGGCTTGACAGTTTATAGTAATATTTTTATATTGACAGTGGATAGCCAGAGCTGGCAGACAGCTGCACTCCTGGGGAGGTGGCCTCACTATCGCAGCAAAACCTCCAGCCTGGGAGCCGGACTGGCAGAGGCTGGCAGCCCACTCCTGGGGAGGTTTTGTGCTTGCATGGTTACCCTATTACACAATTTTTAACATCTCTAATCAGCATAGAATCATAGAATCATAGAATAATAGGACTGGAAGGGACCTTGAGAGGTCATCGAGTCCAGCCCCCCGCCCTCAAGGCAGGACCAAGCTCCATCTACACCATCCCTGACAGATGTCTATCTAACCTGTTCTTAAATATCTCCAGAGAGGGAGATTCCACCACCTCCCTTGGCAATTTATTTCAATATTTGACCACCCTGACAGTTAGGAATTTTTTCCTAATGTCCAATCTAAACCTCCCCTGCTGCACTTTAAGCCCATTACTCCTTGTCCTGTCCTCAGAAACCAAGAGGAACAAATTTTCTCCTTCCTCCTTGTGACACCCTTTTAGATATTTGAAAACCGCTATCATGTCCCCCCTTAATCTTCTTTTTTCCAAACTAAACAAGCCCAGTTCATGAAGCCTGGCTTCATAGGTCATGGTCTCTAGACCTTTAATCATTCTTGTCGCTCTTCTCTGTACCCTTTCCAATTTCTCCACATCTTTCTTGAAATGTGGCGCCCAGAACTGGACACAGTACTCCAGCTGAGGCCTAACTAGTGCAGAGTAGAGCGGCAGAATGACTTCACGAGTTTTGCTTACAACACACCTGTTGATACAACCTAGAATCATATTTGCTTTTTTTGCAACAGCGTCACACTGTTGACTCATATTCAACTTGTGGTCCACTATGACCCCTAGATCCCTTTCCGCCATGCTCCTTCCTAGACAGTCGCTTCCCATCTTGTATGTATGGAACTGATTGTTCCTTCCTAAGTGGAGCACTTTGCATTTCTCTTAGAGCAAAGGAAGTCCTGTCAAACTGTGGAAAGTTCTCCAAAGGACCCCTGCTTCGGCTGCTTCTGTCCCTACCAGATGGAGTCTCTGGGTGACTCTTCTTTGTTGCTTTTTCCCAAGCCCACGTGGCAGGGGCAGAGGAGACACCAACTGGGTCCTAGTACTCCCAGAGTTAGGTGAATCATCCTGTACAGCTCTGAGTCCAGACAGGCTGCACAAGGGAGAGATGGGTCCATCTGGACCCCACATCCCTCTTCCTGCCTGCCAGTGCAACAGTCCCTGCTTTGGCCGCTTCTGCCCTTCATGATGAGTTAAAAGGGAACAGTGGTCATCAGCTCTGTTGCTATCACCTTTGTGAGCAAACTTATTTTATACGAAGTCCATTATTGGCAAGATGCTTTCTCACTACATTTTTGATGAATGTGGCATGAACATCGAGTTTGTGTAAACTTAAATGGAAACTTGCTACTACCTTTGCCATGCCACAGAATGGAACAGCCTGTTCGGCACATCACAAAAATCCATCACACATGCCACATTCTTTTCATTTCAGTTCACTGATAAGAAAGCAACATACCACAAAGGCCCAGAAGTAGTCACCTGACTAGCAGTCTATTTCATTTTCTGGCATAAACAAGCATGCAATAATCTGCTGAAGAAACTGTTATGATCTTAGCCTGATGACACAGACATAAATGTGCTTCATACCTGTTAATCTCAATTAGAATGATATTCTGTGTAAATTCAGGTGCAGAGTAAGCAAGAGCTTGATTTGCTTATGTTTGCCAACCAAATTAGCGAAGAAACCCATTAGTATCTCTAACTCTAGGTACAGTAGCGGGTATAGCTAACCACAATGCTAGCTGAAGAAGAGGATTACAAATTGGGAAAATTCTCCATAGGTGATATCCACAGTATTTAATTCCAAAGAGACTTGAAATGAGATCCAATGTATTTACTCATGCATCCATGGTT